CTTCCTTGCAACCCACCTTGTCTTCCCTTTCCTCCCTGCGGGCCCCTTTAAAATTCCAGCCAAGTCTGGACTGCTTCCCCATTAGCCTTCCCGAGGTTCTCTCCTGTTCTGAGCGACTTTTCCGATTGTAAACATCATTGAACATCCTGACTGAGTAGAGCACGTTCTGCTTTGTCTCTATCGTTGCTCACAGCTTCTAGGAAGGACAGGTGATTTGTCTTTGTAGAAAGCCCTGGATGCTTTCCGCTGGGAGAGAAAATGGGCCCTGAGCACTGTGGACCCATCAGTGTGGAGAGAGAAAGTTTTAGTCTACTTACTCCTGCGTTATCTAGATGAGAGGTCTCCTGGGGCTGGATGTGACTGCCAGTGGCCATTTCTAGCATCTGTTTTGGGCTCTCCCTTCTTATAGATGAGGGTACTGGGTTTCTGAGAGGTTAGATAACTTGCACTAGGACTATGGCAAAGCTCAGACCGGAATCCAGGTCCTATAACTCCACCAAGGTCTAGAGACAGTGCATGCTTTTTGCCATGCGCTATGCCAAGGTGTTTAACATGTATGAACCCAATGAGTCCTCACTTATCAAGCACAGAGCATATTGCCCTCACTTTACCAATCAGCAAATCGAAGCTCAGAGAAGTTGAGTCACTTGCCCAAAGTTACACAGCTAATATGTGGCAGCCTGGAATTTGAACCAGGTCTGTCTGATTCCAAGTGTTTTTTCCACTCTCCCACAGCTGATGTCTGACTGCCTTTATTTACCTGAGTGTCATTTTATGGCAGAGAGAAAAATGTGTAAGAAATAATCTCTGCCCTTGAGGAACTTTAAGTCTGGCAGGGAGAGAGAGCTGTAAACAGCTGTAATGAACTTAAAAACACACTGATCCAGGCGGGTTCCAAATGCAAGGTGGGCAAAGTGGGGGCCGTGCCACCTTCTGGGGTGTGAGGGGGGCCAGGGAGGGGACTCTCTGTTTCATTGGTGCACTGATTGAAACACACACACACACAATTAAGAAGGTGAGAACTCAATAAGGAAAGAGGCCAGACAGGCCCTTTAAAAAGGGGGTGACAGATCTGGGTTTCCTCCCTGGAGGAGTTGGCCTTAGGGCCAGCCTCCAGCTCGGGTAAGAATAGAGCATAGGCTTCCTCTTTCCTAGGCAAGCAAGTTGCTGGGAGCACAGTAAGTATCCCCATTCCCTGAGAGTTCTTTCCACTCAGATCCAGAGCATCTGCAGGTGTTGCTATCAGGTGAGACCGGCTGCTCCACAGCACAGACCCACCTGCTGCCATCTTGGGAGACAGGAAAGTAGTTCCAACATCACTGCATGATGCAACACTCCACTCTGACTTTGGAAATGGCTTTGGGCTCTTCAGCACATTCTCCTAAATGTTCTCAACACTGGGTGAGTGGAGACAAGAAAAAAAGGAGAGAATGCTGAAATTAAATAGGCCAAGATGTTAGCGTCAGTTGAAATTCTGCTTGATGGGGATCTGGATTGGTGATTTTTTTCTTTGTACATATCTGTATTTTTTTAATTTCTAAAACTTTTTTTTTTAATTTAACAAGGAAAAAATGGTATCACATAATGCTTAAAGGTTTGAACTTTGGTGTTGGACAGTCACCAAACTGTGTGGCTTTGGGCAAGTGATTTCATTACTCTGAGACCTAATGTCCTCCTCTGTAAAACAGGGATGATGGTATCTACCCCCATAAAATTGCTGTGCGGATTGAATGAAATAATGCACTGTTAAGAGCCCCCTGTTGGACCCTCAGTAAGCTCTTGATACATATCAGCTGTAACTTTTACTAAGGGTGACAAATTTTGGTCCTTTGAGGGTGGATTTGATTTTTGCAAACAGGTAGCAGTCTTTTACAGCCAATCTATTCATTCATTTAACAATGATTTATAGAGTACCCACATGCTCTAGGCCTGGGGTCGAACCCTGGGGATGCAGCAGTGAATAAGATAATTCCTGCCCTCACCTGTGGGAAATGAGATCTAAATGATTCTAGACTTCAGGACAAGTGTCACTCAAGCGGAAGAAAGTGCTCTGGGAGCGAGTAGCAGGAGGAGAGGAGCTTGCATGAGAATGGGCAAGGCAGCCCTGAGGAGGGGATGGTCTAGCCAGGGCAGGAGAAGATCAGAGAACGGGGCTGGGGGAGGTGGGCAAAGAAGGAGGGCTGCCTAAAAAGACTAAACCCAGTGTTCTTATACCTCGTGGAAACGGACTGGGGAAGGCAATTCGCAAAGAAGGATTGCAGAAATTATTTGCAAAACGTCTGCTTGGAAGAGCAACACTCATTTGGCTGGAGAGAGGCTGGGATGTTTGCTTAGAATAAAAGCACTGTCACTTTGCAATCCTGCTCCTCCGAGGACATGTGATTTCAGAGCAGCACACGCTTCACTCTTCAGAGCTGTCTGTGTTTTTCAGGACCCTCAACCCGAGTCCCAGATTCCCGTGGAAATAAATAGAAATACGTATATGTATTTCTGCTGCTCTCGCCAGCTGAATCTCAAGATTCTTGATGATTTCCTTTTGGCAGAGAGGAGGGCATGACTGTAATTGACAGACACTAGCGGTATTTTGGGTGCTGTGTCCGAAATGAAGCCAGAAGATGCTGTTCAAGAAAAAATAACGGAATGGCCTAAAAAGTCTCATGCACACATAATATTTTGTACATGATTAAATGAGCACAGAAACAGGCACGGAAGAAACATGCAGTCTGTTAGTTTTTGAGGGTATAAGAAGGAAAAGGAGAAGCGGGGGGGATTAAAAACGCGATGACTGAACAGAAAAAAAAATATGGTGTAATGATTGCATTAGTTATCTATTGCTGTATAACAAATTATGCCAAAGTTTAGCAGCTTGGGACAACAAAAATTTATTATCTCGCGGTTTCTGTAGGTCAGGGATCTGAGCAAAGCTGGGTCGTCTGGCTCAAGGTCTCATACAAGGCTGCAGGCAAGGTGTCAGCTGGCACTGCTGTCTCATCCAAAAGCTCGGCTGGAGAAGGATCCACTTCGAAGCTCACTCGGATGGTTTTTGCAGGATTCAGTTCCCGTGGGGCACTGCCATCACGCTACAGTTTTTGCTACCTGCGCCTTTCCACGGGGCAGTTTACAATACAGCAGCTGGCTTCTCTCCAAAGGAATGAGCAAGAGAGTGAGAGAGGGCGAGCAAGACAGAAGCCAGAGTCTTTCCTTCGTAACCTAACCATGAAGGTGACAGTCCATCACTTTGAACAAATTCTATTGCTTAGAAGCAAGTCACTAAGGTCCCACCCATAGTCAAGGGAATGCAGGGGGCAGGCCTTCTAAAGAAGT